ATCAGCGGCCGCTCGTTACCGCCTCACAGTGCGGTAAGTGCGCAGGCCTGCAAGGCATAGACGTCGGCCGCCATCCTTCTCCCATCACTTTTGCAGTTAGTGGAGTCGGTTTCCCACCAGGAGCGGATCGGTCCGTCTGCTCCCCAGCTGTGACGCTCCGCCGGCCTGGCACCGACCAACCCGACCCGACCCGCCGGTCCGATTTGATACACCGGAGGGCTGCTGGCTCGGATTAGGACGAGGCCGGGCTCGGGCCAGCAGCCACCTGACTGGGAGACAAATGACTGGAACACGGACAGATATGAGGGTGCCCAGGCGCACGGCACGCCACGAGGAAGCCTGAGCGTGCAGCAGGGCGTAGAGACGCATGCACAGGCTCAGGCAAAATGCTCTGCCTTGTCTCTGCCGTTGTGCAGGGTCACCCAACCTTGGAAAATTTCGGGGATTTGTTTCCCTATTGTGTGTTAGGATTCGCGGTGTCTTATGGCTCGTGCGAGTAGGCAACGCGCCCACAAGCCTTCATTTACCTACAGCAAGATGTCCCACGGGGTCCCTTGGGCCATCCTGTGAAAAAACCGAACCACTATTTTGCTAGTTGGAAAGCACTCTATTTTCGTTTAACGTTTATGCTAATTGAACAGTATATCCCATAAAAAGAATAAACGCATGATACACGCGTGAAAAGGGCAGGAGAGTTAACATCTTATTTTCATTCATTCAGTTTAAGTTAAAACTTTCCTGCATACACATTTTTTTCACGCAAAACAAACGACGAGAATGAGAGAGGGTTTTGTCCATAAAACGGCCTAAAAGCCGTGAAGACGACGACTACGACGACGACTGGCAGGGCAAGAAGTAAAAAAAGCAATGACACCTTACATTACTCATGTATAGTTACATGTATGTTAAGTGTAAGTAAGTTTAAGTTTGTAAGGTATCATCTGCTAAAAACGCCTGGAGCCGCTGTTATGTCTCCATAAGGTCATAAGTGCCGCGCTAAGAGGCCGACAAAGGCGGCTGGGACCGAAAATGTGCTGAGGAGCTTGTGGACCGGGCCCGGCCCGGCCGGGGGGTTGCGAGATCCGCCGAGTGCCACCTGTTAGCGGGGCAGGACGCCCCCGTGTCGCAAGGGCACCAGAAAGGGGCAGGAGGGGGGGATAAAGCCGAAATGTAGATGTCAATGAGACGTGGTGCGTGGCAGGTGGTTGGCGATCAACAAGAAACAGAATAGGAGCGCGCATACCACCCAATCGCGTTTGTGCTCGTTTTGGAAAAAGGTCAACAACGCATGCGCCCGCTCAACGCACTGTGTCCTCGGGTCAATGTGAAATGAGTAGTTTCACAATCAGCGTTAACGAATTCGAAGTTATGAGGTTCTCTCGTATTCTTGCTGCTCCCGCCACTCCGCCACTCGTCCCGGCCCGGCACGCAAACGTGGTACAGTACGGCACGGTAACGTTGCTCAGACAACGCGAGCAGAGACCAGCGCGCGGCCCCGCACCAGCGTGTCGCCCCCGCGTTACCGCCTGGACCAACGGGGCGTAACACCGGGGGAGGAGCAGGCAGGGGGCGGCCAGGTACGCGCGGAATGCGAGCGGGCGGCGGGCGATATGACGGGGGCGGATCATTGCCGCGTCATACCCCCCGTGGTGTGTGTGTGGGAGGGGGAGAATACTTACTGATGTGACTGGGCGCATCAGATCCCTCTCTCTCTTTCTCTCCCCCTCTCTCTTCCGCGTCCTCGCGCACGGTGTGCGGCTGGCGTGGCGGCACGTGGTTTGACAGATTTCAACGCCCCAGAGAAACCGAGAGAAACAGCACGTATGTGTTCGCAGGGCGCGAGCAAAAGTTTGACGAGCGTCCCTGGCGCGCACACCCTTTTCACATGCACAAGCGCGGGCTGGAAAGGGTTGAATGTGGAATGGTGCATGTGGTAGTCATAAAGCTACTCGGTTCGCGATCACACTTTCCTCCTCGTACACAAGCACGTGTACTTAAGCAAAACGGAACTTACGGTAACCAAAAAGAACGGAATTAATGTGCAATTCGTACAATTCGTAAGAAAAAGGGAGGAAAGGATTGGGGGAAGGGGGCCGCTGGGTGCTCCCGCAGGTTTATTGGGCGGAGATATATTGGTGAAGATACACTTATCACTAAATAATCGTGCTCAAGGCTAGGCTTTCCCCACATACTCTATCCCGCTACGAGTGACATCTCTCGCTCACTCACAAAACCAGCCACAGCCTTGCAAGGACTCATAACGCCATAGTGAGCACACAACGCACAGCGTTACACGCTCCAGTAGACAGAAGACAGACGGAGGGTGGACTCAAGTCAACCTCAGTCCACCCTCTCCCTCTTTCTCCCCCCCCCCCTCTATTTCTCTGTCTCTCCTCCCACACAAGCCGCACATAGACAAAAGGGGACCCTCCTCCCTCCCGTGATGTAATTTTGATACTTATGATGTATTACTCTGGGCCATCATAATCAGATGCAGTCACTGTGCGCTGTGCGCTCAAATACGCCGAGCCCTGCTCTGCTACTGCTCCTTGGGGATGGGGGCTCCCTCCCCTCCGCATGTGCGCGCGCGTGTGTGTGTGTGTGTGCGTGTGTGTGTCAGTGTGGGTGCGCGGGAAGGATCTGGGACTGACGTGTGACGGACTCAGACACATTTCGCGCCCTTTCTACCTTACAGCGTACCAACGCCCTATTTGCTCCCTACAGAGGAACCCTTCATCCACACCCCGTCCCCAGTCTCTTCTTTTTCCCACCTCTCACACACAAACAAGCGAGCGCGCGCACACGCACACACACACACACACACACACACACACCACAGTACTTGCCCCCGAGGAGACACACGTAACCTCAAATCTTCCACCCCCAGCCCCCCACCCTTCTTCATTCGGTCCCATCTGCAACCGCCTGGTCCCCCGGATTTGTACGCAATGCTCTGCGCGCACACAGTGCAAAAAAAAAGAGATGAGGAAAAAGGGTACACAGGCACGCGGAGCCACTGCTGGCAGGTGATACGCGCTCACTCACACACGCGCACACACGGCCGCGCTCAGCTGCCACGCAGTTGTCTGTCTCTGTCGGGTCTACTGCTGGGCCCAAGCGGCACCACCCTTTTATTCCGACCCAGGAGCGACAAATTTATGACAGGAAAATTATTCGTCTGCTGTGGTCAGGGCCGCACAATCAAACCAGCAGCACTCTGTTCCATCCAGTGCTTGCGTGCTAATCCGAACACCACAGGCCTGCGCTCTGCAAATCAATCTGTAGTCCAAGATTTTAGTGTTACTGTGAAGCAACCATATTTTACGAAGCGTGCACTAGCGTCCAACAGCTCGCATAGCACGTTCCATGATTTCCCCCTTTTTTCCTCGGTTAAAACGAGTCCTGAGATTCCCAAAAGTCCTCTTCATTTTCCAAGGGAGTCAGAAGCGTCCCTGTAAACGAGCGGATGTCCTATGGGTTTTCCAGTTGGAACCCGGGGAATAATTGCTTTGTTTCCAGGAGGGAATCCACTGGGACGCCAATTCTCCTGCGGGCATCCCAGGGCTCCATTTTTCCTGTGCCCAATCCGGGCGACTGGACCCTCTCGCGGCCGCGCGCCGGGGTCGGACCGTTTGCGGGGCTTAGCGCCGGCCGCGGATCAAACACGGAACTGGGCCGTCGGGACGGGATGAGCGGTGCGGCCGGGCGCCGGGCGCGGACAGGAATCACAATGGGCCAGGCACGTTTGTGGCGGTATCAAAGCTACCGCATCCACTAAAACAAACTGGGAAAAAAGGGTTTAGTTCCAGAGGGGGGCTAAAACTGTCACGAGAGGGCTCATTTTCGATAATTTTCGATATTCTGGGGATTATTTTCGCCATTTAAAACGGCATTTCACTCAAAATTGTCTCGAAACAACCTTGGCAAAGGAGCGACCCAACACCTTTGTTTCTTCATGATAGAGAGGCGGCCGCGAGTCTGTTCTCATACGTTACAGTCAGGCGCGGACGTGCCACGTCGCCACCCGAGGACCTCCGCCGCCGCCCTGCTCTGCGTCCCGAAAAGCGTTCACGGAAAATGACAGGTTCACCGGATAAATGGGCCGACTCCGCAAGGGACGTGGGAGAGCTGCGGGGCAGGGGCGGCGGGGCGGGGGAGGTGGAGGACGGGCGGGGGAGGGCGGGGCTGGGGATGGACGTGGGCCGCCGACGGCCGGACATAAAGGCATGATGTCGTGACGACGGACTGCAGGGCAGGAGCGGGCGGGAAGCACGAGCAGGGATGGTGAGAGTGCGAGAGAGACGTTATCAAAAGACGTCGCAGGGTATTTCGCTCGACCGGACCCACACGCAAACCTCATGTCAGAATTGCCCCCTGACTTTAATAAAAAGAATCGGGGAGTTTGGGGGAAGAAGGGGAAGTAGCCACAATAATCCGCCCCTGGAAACACACTTGACTAAAAACGGGAGCCTCGTGGTGGTCGAGCGGTTGGAGGTGGGGAGGGGGAAAAGTTGCACTAATCAGCGGCAAGTGGCCCACAACACGTTCGACATGTGGGCTGTGGTGGTGAGGCGTTAACCTGACACTCTGAAAAATAAGGGCATTTGTTTTTTTAGGGGGTTGCGTATGGGAATGGGAGAAAAGCCTTGCGGAAGAAGGTTTTGACGCGACCGTTCTGCTTGTGCTTGTGTTTGACTTTTGACTGAGACGAGGCAGTGCACCATGAAACCCCAGCGTGTTGAGGTTCGCCGATGTCAAACCCAGACTACCCTGTTGTAGTCTCGCGTTTCTCGAGTCTAGTCCGATCTAGCCTCACTATTGGTGAGCAGCATCGTCAATGAAAAACATGATGATATTGATGATGTTTCAATGCCTCCCTCACACAGCCACACACGTTCTACCGCACAGACACAGACACACGCGTTACCCCTACAGACACACACGCTGTTTGCGCAACCCTTTCCTCTTATCACATCTGTTGAGTCGGGGAACTAACTTACGGAGCGCTGTACGAGCCGGGACAGCCGCTCTGCCACCATCGCTGTCTCGAAGCAGCACAAAATGAACTGCACAGCTGGAAAATAAAAAAAGAAAAATTGTTAGAAGATACAAGATCCAGTTAGCAGCGGCAGTAAGGGGTGGGCGATGTGCACAGATTGGGGGGCCAGAGGGGTGGCCGGCGGAACGAAAGAGGGGAGGGAGAGAGGGAGGGAGCCAAGGTCGGGAGGGAAGGGAACGAGGGTGACAAGACAAAGGAAGCTACTGTATCTACACTGCCGCGAACTGCTACATCGTTACCTCCATCATTATTTACGCGGGAGGCTCTGATCAGCATCTGTCTGCCTGGAAGCAGTGCAAGTCGAGTGGTACTGCGGGAGCCGCACCAACGTCAACCCAAACTCAACAAGGGTACAACCACGGGATGGCGCGGCGCCTCACTTTTAGGAACACGAACCCTTATTGCCTACACACAGGCGGTTTTTAGCATAATTGGCTCAAAGAACGTCAAAGAGTTTGCCGAAACTCCCTTTTTTATCGCCTTCGAGCGTCAGGTGCAGTATGAGACAGTGCAAGAAGCTCCTGCGCCTCCGCCCCCCGCCCCCTCCATTTTTTTTCCTTACCCCGCGGTCTGCAGGAATGTCTCCGCTACATACGGTGGTGGGTGTGGGGTTGCCGAACTGGGGCCGCCCCACCCCGCGCTGCCACGCCCCACCGCGCCTCCACCTTCCACTTGAAGAGCACGCAGTTTGTTAATATTATTTCACCCCCATAAAAAGTATTCACCCCACAACCGGCTCGCCATAGCCTATGCTCTCCTTTTTTTCGCAGAGGCCGCGCGCAAGACGGCCCGTTTTTGCCGCGTAAAAAAGAGAAAGGGCCGCCTGGCCTCTGTGTGCGGCGGAGAGGCCCGGAGAGGCCCCGGCGGAGGCTTGGGGGCAGGGGAGCGATACGCGGGGCGGCGGTCCCACCGAATTTGTGTCGCGGCCCGCTTTAGAATTATCTGAGGCCGAAATAAGGCATCTCTTTGTTCGCACACTGCCGTGTTTGCCCCCGCGACCGCCCGACAGGCCGCCAAAAGCCGACACAGCGATACGTCAGCAGCTTGGCCAGCCCTTGAGAGGCCTCTGCAAATAAGTACATCTCGCACAAGTTTATGCAGGGACACTCGTTACCAGATACTACTGGAAAGGTTACTTGGTTTCATAGTGGTGGTGTGTTCTAAAAAAGGAAAAACCGAATACATGGTCTGCTTTGCCACCATATGATGTGCAAAATAATTACGACTATTATGACCCAAACACCACAGTATTATTTAACCTAAAATGTCAAAGGAAGGAAAAATTGCCGTTTACTCAGCCGCACGCGGCACGGCCGCACCCCCAAAATGGGATCAGGGGTCAAGGGTGCTTACGGAAAGCTTAAGTGAACTCGCTCGCGCTCCCCCCGCCGAGTCCCAGGTGGTGCCACGACAAAGTAGAGGGAGGGGAAGGGGAGGGGGATCAAACGGTAGCGTTGGCGGCGCATGGTGGGTCGTGGCGGGGCGCGGTTGGCGGCGCCGGATGGTCGACGACTTGATCTGCCGGCGGGGGATACAAACTTTGTCACTTTTGCCTCCCGAAAACTTCAAAGGATGCATGCGGTCCACGTGCCGCCACCAGGCGGCAACACGACTCCCCCTCCATAGTGCCTTTACCTGACAACAAGCACCCCCCCCCCCTCTTCCCCCGTGTTGCCTTCCTTGAGGTACATTGACATCTATATGGCCGGAGGTACAACTCGAACAAGTTTCAACTTTTAGGCACCATAATTTGCAGTGTTGGAGTCCTTGAATTTCCCGCCATTGCCTACCTCGGCGGGAGGGACGGCTTTTAAATTTTAAATTGAGTCGAGCACGCGTTCTTCAGCTCCCTACAAACAAGTTCGCCACATATTGCTTGTCCACCCCGCGCGCGGCCAGCGCCACCCCCACCCTGAACCACGTGGTCCGCACCAACCCCCTAATTTGCCCACCACCCCCGAGAAAGAGCTCAGCCAGCCACGTTCATAATTTATCAGAGCGAAGTTGCCGCTGCAGCTCCACCGACCGGCGCGCCAGGCCGCGACCCGCGCGCCGCGCCGCCGGCCGAACTGCGAACGCGATACGACACGGTGGCATCTGCGAAAAATGTCGGCACCATCTGGAGGGACATCTGCAGCGGGGGAAAGGCACACCCGCTCAGGTGCTGCCAAGTACGTTTTGGTACAGTTAGCGCGGTGGCACGCCCCACCCCTACCCCCTTCTCTCTCCCTCTCTCTCTCTCTCTCTCTCTTTCCGCGCGAGGCGTCCGCAGGGGTCGGCGTGTCGTGGCGCGGATGCGACAGATAATTTTCTTCCAGTCGCCGCTCCCTCCTCCTCTCTCCCCCGCCGCTCTTATGGCCCCGCTCACACTCCTGACGTTATCGCGGCGGCCTCCGTCGAGTTGAGCATGAAGCGCTTTCAACTGGAATTATTTTCGGCGCACCAACGCATGCTGGAGCCTCCGCACAGCGCCCGCTGGGTCGGCCGCCGCGTGCTGACAGCGCTCTGCCAAAGGCGCGGTGACGCCCCCACCCCTCCACCCCTTCCCCTTGCCGCGCTGCCCTATGCCAGACTAAAACACAGGAAAACGAGACCTTTCATATTTCCAAGCTGAGGGTTCCCTTTAGGCAGCAAGCCAGAGCTTGGTTACCAAAACAATAAAACGCACTCGTGTTCAAGTTTGCACAAAGATCGTTGCTTGATTTCACCCAAACTGCATGAAAACAGGGAACCACAGATTGAAAACCAAGCTATCATTTTTGGCATGATACGGTGCTATTATAACGCGAAGGGAAACACGCCTCGGCAGGCGAGGCGGCAGGGCTTGGTAATGATATTTCATGTCGTGTAAAAGGCCTGCGCTTTGCTAAATGCCCGCAGACTTTTGCACTGTATTACCGCGGAAACGTAACACTGAATCAAGTCGGTTGAGCCATCTGCATGCTCATCCATTCTCACGGCCAAGCCGCCCCATCCTCTGGGAAGGCAAACCGTTGCCACGATACGAGGAAGAAAGCGCCGTTTTCTGCGCAGCGCACGGCTCTCGCGGCCGGCCCCACGTCGCCGTTTGATCCCCTGGCCGGCCGCGCTGAAGGCCTCTCCATCACCCGCATGACAGCGTTACGTGAGACCGTCCAGCTCAACGCCTCTCGGCCCCACCTGGCCGGTGGTCCAGCGGCGTCAACACAAAGATGAGACGAGGCGGGACGGTATTCCATATTTTTATTTCAGCAGAACGCGGCCAAGTGGTGTCCGATGGATGCGCCTCCTGACGCCGCCTCATTTCCATTCGTGACCGGTACGGCTGTCATAGTGAGGGAAACTACAGTCTCGCATCAATGAATGACATCCTGGGCTTAAAAATTAGGACTTTTCATGGTATGGGGAAACAGCTGGAGGAACACGACAGGCCGGAACACCAGTAACCACCAAGTGCTTACCATTCAGCAAACAATTTCAGAAGAACGCTAGTAGACAAGTAGTGTTCTGCAGCATCTGTTGTGTTCGATTTGTTCCCACTTGTTCCCGAAACACCACGAAAAGGCCTAGTTGAAAAATAATCGTTATTAGATATTCAAGACATAAATTTAACAGTTCAGAAAATCTTCCCCTACTCAGTACGTGCCCAATATACTACCAAGACAGCTCAGATTCTCAAATATACAGCTCATCGCGTGGATAAGTTCTCTTTATAATCAGTTACGTAAACAGTGGTGCGGTTTGGGCAGCTTACATCCGCGTATTGTCTCCGAGGACATTCAGCCAGCAGCAGCAATAAGTCGAGGAGGATTTGGGTGGTCATGGAGGTAATATGGCAGGCATTGTCCGCACGTTGCTTTTGCTCTGGCGGTCGGGTTCAACTCCCTATAACGACCACCTCACATTATCCGAGGCCTCTATTCCTATAATATAAGCTTCATCAACTAAGAAAACATGCTGGTATATGACGTTGTTTTTCTTTATTCCGTTCGCCATATTTTGAGTCTGACCGATAATCGCCTAGAGGTAGGTGGTCCGACTCGTCACACACCTTTTCATCGCATTATCTGCGCGTCCTGTTGGGCAGGGGAGGTGGCCGGGGCGTGGCGCTGCGTAGTGTGAGATTCGAGACGCCCGGGCCGCTTTTTGGGGACAGGTCAATCGGCTTGGTCCTTCCTGTGTGTTGCATTCATTCATCCCGTTCATTCAGGCCAAAGGCTGCTGCTTTGCGTGTTGCTTGTGTAAAGTCACTGATATGGTGGTGTCCATGAATCACCTGCCTGTGTCATTCGATGGTATTTTCTCTTCTTTTTAGTTTTATTTCGAAGATGGAAATGGTTTGTGTCACCCCCGTCTCTGAGAAAGAGGTAGTCTGAATGATGTATGAAGGATTACAAGAGAAACTGTCTGATAATGATCAACATATGTAGATTATCGCTACGTCAAAGCTGGCATTTAAAAAAAATACAGGTGGTGGGGGCGGGGGTGCCGCCGTGGTCAATTTTCGATTTGTTCTGACTCGACGAAAACAGTAATTATTTTCATGGCATTTTCGTGGGAGACAGTTTATTACGACTCTTTAGGAATAGCGCACGGTCTGTTGCCGAGTTGTCATGCGTGGAGCAGCAGGCAGGCGGCTCCCTTTTACGGTCACAAAAACGCTTTAGGGGTGGCGGAACTAACGCCGTGAAATCCGATACGGCTGCTGAGGAACCTGTTTACCGTGCCTTGGCACGTCATTGCAGTTAGATTTTGGCACAGTTATAGAATTGATTTAAAGCTTTCTTGTGTACACTGCACCAAATTGATAAAAAGATCCAAATTTGTAAAGTATTGGAATTGGACCCTAGGACTTTGCAACAGGACCAGTTTAAGTCATGGAAGTTCAGGCAGGCAGAGACGGCGTATTTACAGTAATCAAAGGGGAAGAGCTTATTTTTACTTTACCTTTTGTTAAAAAAAATCTACTACACATCTTTGCTGTCATAGTAAAAAACAACCTTTAAGTCGTACATATTTGCTGTCAACCACATGACCCATTCTTGCGCTCCTATCGGACACATTATTTTCCATTAGTCGCCCCCCCCCCCTTTTCCTCCCTCTTGTAAACCAAAAAAATAAAAATCCAAGCCCATCATGTTGTGTGGTGCAGTGTCACTGTCAATGCCGTACAAAGAGAAGTTGAACTCGTCTCACCCACCGCAGCACCCAAGAACCCTACTTACTACCGGCAACCCGCAGCACTCGCACGATCCATTTACGTCACACAATGGTCCCCGAATCAATCACGAGGGGGGCACCCTGATGTCACACGCCGCCGCCTGCGACCAGTTAACAGAGCTTCAAAATCGAATCCATCTTCATCTTCAAATATAAAATACTACAGATGTGTGACGTTTTTTAGGTTCCCGGCCCAGCTTCTTGCGCAGTGTGGCGTGCGCGCAACTGAATATTATGTATATTTGGAGGCTGGTCGAGGTTCAGAAAGACACAAAGACTGGAGAGTGAATATTCTTGGTTCGCGGTGAAAGACCAGACTGAGAAAGGAGTTTTCTTTTGTCCCATTCAACGTCACTGGATGGTGTTCGATCACACACATATGACAGGTTGCGTTATTCCACGATAGCCCTGCCTCGTTGCATTCGGATTTCAGAAATTGTTCCCAGCAGGAGGCAACCGGAGTAAGTACACAGCACATTTTATTACTGCTCTAATTCCATACGTTGTGCAAATAAATGGAAGCCAGAAGGCATAATTACAATATTTTAGGGGAATCACACGGTGGTGGAATGTTGCAGGAGGGTGCATTCCGTAGTCAACCATACCACCAGAGAAACCCTATCGCCTTGATCCCCCCTAATGCAGTGGAGGGAGGACAGTTGTCTCCTTACGACTCTTCACCCGGCGGAGCGCAGTGCAGTCGGAAGTCGACACCCAAGAGTCCGTTGTATTAGAGGGCTTGATATAGCGACTCCGTGACACGTATCCGGCTCAAGGGGTGGTGGTGGCGGGCGCAGCCCACCACGCCCCGCGGTGTGCCGCAAATAATGCCACGTTTCCACCAATTTTTCAAGCTCAACTTTTTGCGGAAGGAAGTTGCGTCGTATTGTAGTGACCGAGGGAGCCACGCCCCGTCCGCACAGTGCTAGCGGCACGGTAGCACCACCGGCGGATGGCGGATTAGGCGGAGCAGGGGGACCACCGCGGTAAGCATCGCGTTATGCGCTAATGTGACGCGATTCGCAAAAATAAGGATTTAAAAAGCGGGAGGTGGAAAAGGTGAAAAAAATACATTTGCAACATTTGTGTGACAAATCAACATAGGAGAAAGAAATGAGTGTCACAGAAATTCCAACTGTATGTTTTTGAAAACAATCTTTACAGCGATTCAAAGATGCGAAATGTCGGTGTTGTTTTTACCTGTGCATTTTTGAAGGGGAAGTGAAACGGCCAATTGGTGTAAAAGAACCTTGTCATACTACGAAGCACGTGTTTATGACTCATCCATGTGCGCAGGATTCCTGAAACAAATTAAATAGAAAATATTTACTCTTTTTTTTGCAGATAAAAGGGAGGAAGGGATTCCTCCAGGGAGGAATCACACAGCCCGCAGCAGCCATCGCTCTTCCTCACGGCGCGCCGCGGCGCCATACATCCGTCCCTCCCCCGAGACCCACGAGACGCACACCGGGGCGGGAGAACGGCTCCGAGGGAAGCTCAAGGTGTCGCATAAAGGAGTCGATAAAAATCCATTACCGCGGTGTGTCCCAGCCCAGCAGCAGCAGCAGCGACGGCGGCCTCGGGGACATAAATTACAAGCAGGCAGTGCGGCTCCACGTGCACGCGGGGAGGATGTGGGGGCGAGCACTGCAGCGCGAGGGAGGAACCTGCGAGGGGCAGCAGGGGCTACTGCAAGAGGGGAGGGGGGGGGGCACGAGAGGGGTAGTAGGCAAACCTCATGCAGCGGGTGACTCGGTCCACAATGCGCATAGTCAAGTCGGGGCCCGCCTCCAGCGCGACCTCCACCGGGGCCCAGGGCCCAGGGGGGACCACCGCGCTGGCGAGACCCACCGCCAGGGTGCGAGGGGGCGTGGCGGCGCGCGGCCGGCTGGGGGGCCGCGGTGCAGCGCGACCACGCCCCACCCCGCCCAGGTGCGATGTCATTTACCCCCCGGATGGCGAGCGGCGGCGGGTCTGGGCTCGGCCCCCCCACACACACCCAGTGATACAGGTGGCATGGGTGGCATAATAGCGGGCCCGGGCCGATAGGATTTTTAACGAGATTTCATTTTTTTTTGTCCAGCCGACTCACTCTCTGGGTCGAGAGGTGAGGAGGGCACATGTGGCATCCGCCCGTGTCATGGAAGGGTTGGGATAGTCCATCCCAAGTGTTGCTCCGAACGGCGGGCAGCGCGGCTCCGCTGTTGTGGGCGTACCCCCCCCCCCCTCCACAATCCCTCTACCTTCTTTACCAACTGACTCACACACACGCGCGCGCGCACACACACACACAAATAGGGGGAGGAGATCCAAATTGAAAGTCAAAGTCAACAGTTAGTGATACGAAAAGCGTATTTACCTTGGACCCACAAAAATGTCTTTGTTGGGCTGCGCGCGCGAAGAAAGGCCGAAAGATGAACCACCGGATGTGTCGCAGCAGTGATACAGCGTGTTTCCGAAGGACGCGGAGTGGGAGGAGGAAACGGGGGAAGAAGAGGCATGCCAGGCCTCCCTTCATCAATCACAATATGTTTCAAATTCATCTAAATTTAACACACTGTCCGGTAAAAAAGGGTGGGGTTTTGTGACATTTAACGAGTAAAAATGATGACGTTTGCCACGAATGAGTGTAGGAAAAATCCGTTGTCCGAACATGTGTACGTGTCATTTCATTTATACACTATCAAAGAGGGCCAAAGGGAATTTGGAGACCATCGCTTTGCGTCATGGATGGACAGCTCAACCATGCCTCCACAGTGAAAATTATTTCCGTAAACTTATACCACATGCGACCACATGTTTTGTAGTTTTGATTTACAAAATCTTACGAAAGACCATTCTTGCTCAACAAATACAGAGTGCTTGTAATTTTACAATTTGCAATTGGTATTTTACAGAACACATCATGGAAAAAAAATTACAACCCTTACAAGTTTTTTTCTCAGTGTCAACCTAGTTTCCGCACCACGGTTCAGTCCTGTTTTCGCAAACGCATAAAAATAAAAACAGCCAGAGACTGAAAGCCCAATAGTGAACGAGCCCCTTTTACACTGTAATCCCCCTCCTCCCACTCCCTGCGGTAATCTCCCGGCGGCGCACGCGCTGTCCTCATCCGCAAACAGCGCCCTTCAATTAGTGGCAGATTATTTCTCGGCGTGCCGAGCGGGACCGAGCGGGACCGAGCGGGACCGGAGCCAGCCGACTGACCGACAAGACTATTTTAGGCCATTGTGCCAGGGACACAATCTGCTTACGGGCTGACCGAGATGTCGCCGTCGAGATAAGCTGCGCCGCCAGGCGATCTGATCCGGGCTCCGCACCGGAGGAGACTGGAGACGCCGCCGCCGGGGCGACCGGAAGTCACAGACTGTTTCCGCGAGTGTGCCTATGTGAGTAATGCGATTTGAATGGTGAGCGGGCGAAGCGGGCGGGCCGCAGCTCAGCGCCAGTCCGGTCGTGTGCCGTGTTGCATTCGCACAAAAGGAGGCACGAGACATCCTCATATAGAAATGTCTCCTCCTTCTCTCTCTCCCTCTCTGGTAGGATGAGCCAAAGACAACTTACTCATGAAGTCCCCAAATAAGACCATCAATTGTACGTGCGACTGATAGGAAGAAATCATTGAGGAATGAGTGTTGCCATAGGCCTACGTCTGACAGCCGGCGCCTGAGAAATAGGAGCATTAAAGATGCATAAGTTTCACTTGTGGTTGGGGCAGAAGAACCTTTTAGTATCCAGTTGTCATCTCGATTAAATTTCACTTACACTACGAAGAGAGGCGGAGGGGG